GTCTAGGGCTCAGGGACAGTTTTGAGAAGTAAAAGGTGGTCTAGGGCTCAAGGACAGTTTTGAGAAGTAAAAGGTTTTGAGAAGTAAAAGTTTTGAAAAGGGTGGTCTAGGGCTCAGGGACAGTTTTGATAAGTAAAAGGTGGTCTAGGGCTCGGGGACAGTTTTGAGGTAAAAGGTGGTCAGGGACAGTTTTGAGAAGTAAAAGGTGGTCTAGGGCTCAGTTTTGAGGGTGGTCTAGGGCTCAGGGACAGTTTTGATAAGTAAAAGGTGGTCAGGGCTCAAGGACAGTTTGAGAAGTAAAAGGTGGGAGTTTTTTTCTGAAAAGTGATACTAATGCTATATGTTGTGACATGTCCAGAATATATCCGCTCAGGCTTATATATTTACTGACAGGTCCACTTTAAAGGATATCCTACCTAAAATGTGTCTTCCAGCTAATTAAAGGCTGTTCAGAAGCTTCCTGACTCAGAATTTTGTTTGATGCTAAAAATATTGTAATAAACATTCCCCTACTCACTGTCTTTTATATGGAGTGAGTGTGTCACGCCCGTTCATCAGTCTCTGGGTGTGCCACGAGCTGCTTTTATAAATTCGATCTCCGCATGCATCCAGTTGCTTTGCTCAGTATGATAGAGAATGCACCCTATTGGTTCAAGGAAAGTCCATAATAGCTAAGATATGAGCTTATTTGTACCTCGTGCCTCAGAGACATCAGCAGTTCTTATCATTTTAGTTATGAGAGGATTCTTGGAAAATTTCTAGCTGGTTTCCTATATTTCCCTTGAATGTGGCAGCAAAATCTCCTTGTAGGCCTTCACTTCTTCTCGCCCTCTTTAGGGTGGACAAGCCAAGCTCGGCACAGTCATCAGAACCTTGTCGAGAGGTTGAGACCCTTTTTATGATGGCTCATTAGAGTGGGTGGAGCTGGGAACCCAGGCATACAGAATTCACTATGATCTCTGAAACGTATAAGAATCTAATGGTTGGTTTGGTTCATCGGTCTCTAACCAAAACGAAGATTTGCCTTGACTGGCTCTTTGAAAAGTCCTCCCCACCCAAAACTTTACTTTTTGTCTTTTGGTAAATGCTGGTGAAAAGCTGAACGTCCGTCTCTCAATCAACATTGACTACTTTTAATCCTTATGTTGCTAGCATTAGTAGATTGGAAAGAATATCCTTCTGAGGTCCAAGGTCTGCTCACTTGTGCCAATTATGAGGGGTTCCCACCATCCTTTTGCTAGGGTCCAAGGTCTGCACACCTGTTGTGCCAATTATGAGGGGTTCCCACCATTCATGTAAAAAATTCCTGGATCTGTACACCTGCTATGCCTATTACGAGGAGCTCCCACCATCCTTGTGCTGAGGCCTGTGGTCCCAAGTCTAAATATTGTGTCCATTATGAAGGTTTCCCAACATCCTTGTGTGGAGTCCCTGCGTCTGCATTCCTGACATCTTCAACCCCAAGAGATTCCCACAATCCCTACTTGATTTTTTTATGCTATATTATAGAGAATGTAACTAGTTGATTGGGAACAACTAAAAAAATCCTAAAAAATAAGCCACAGCTGGGCTAGTAGATTGGACTGTTAGAGGCCTCAAGCCCATGTAGAAAAACAGTATGTATTGACCCACCAAACCCCACCTGAAATCTGACCCTTCATTAGGTTGCCGCTGGGATTTTAATTTGTTTAATGCTCCCTTGTAATGGAAACCATGTATCCTGACAGAATTCTAGAAGAGCAACCCCTTCCATTGTGACAAGATTTATCCCAAACTGTTATGACAACCCTAACCAGGCAAAATGAGAGGGGAATTAACCTGCCATGGATGATTAGTGAGAATTCCTACTCCACCATAAATGTCGCTGGAAGATGAATGTTCTGTTCCAGCTCCATGTATAACGCTCTTTAACAAGTTTCTGAATACTTTCCTAGCATTAAAGTATGAGCCCAATACACAGTGCTACAAATGATCAGCATCACAGTGTGCCGCCTGTGTCCTGTATTCCGGGTGTAAGTCTCATATCTGTTCTTGTGCTTCCACTGTGCACAGTGCCCCTTCCTGCACCTGATACATGTCCTGTGGCCCTGGACCCCTTCCCTCGCCTTCCCCTCTCCGTGCACAGCGTGATATTTCCTTCCAGCAGCAGATCCATCTTCCCGTCTCCTCTGCCCACAATTGGTCTTATTGCTCCATATATGGCTCTATTTATCCTGCTGAGCACAATCTAGGCTCGGGTTTACAAGATTGTAATATAAACCTCGTCCTATTCACAGCTCATATCTGTAGGGCCATCCTGTTCAGAATAACCACTCTAGTAAAAATGAGTTTCCTTGGATCAGGACTCTTGTCCTACCATCTTATTAGTATCCTGCTTATCTAAAGGGTCACTCCATCCACTGATGTCAGTAGTGCATACCTATTGCATCCTCTGGATTGTACAGGGCTCCTCTGTTATCACAATCTCCTGGCTTATCCATCTGGATTCTGATTTATATGTAATCTCCTTTATTGGAGCCACAGAAAACATTCAAGCAGTTGTAAACCTCAAACTTAAAATATGAACAAAGCATGTCCCTCTATAGTGTCTACTTGTCTCGTGTCATTTCTGTCTGCTTCCTCTTTCCTCTATCACCATGAATCCCTTCTGACAAGTTTTCCTGACACCAACTGTGACAGGGGAGAGATCTCCAGCTGATTGACAGCCTCAGCTCTGTTCTTGTGTGCTGTGTGGAGGAGGGGGGGGGGGGGTGTCTCTTCCCTCCAATCAGCTCTCAGAGCTCTCCTCACTGAGCTCTGCAGAGTGTAAATTCAGCTCTCCACCTCCTTTTTTTTTTTTCTGAACTCCTAGACAAGTTTTATAAATTTAGTACTTTGGATGTAGAGAAGAGAAGGCTGCTGATAAATAGGTACAGCTCATGTGTGAGGATTTGGTTCTTCTCTGTGTATCACTTGAGGCCAGTCACTTCACTGGTTTACTTTAAAGCTCGACCTCAGACAAAATGTAGTCAATTTAAGTGGAGGAAGGGTACAGACATCTATCAGATTTTCATTGCTGCCTCTTCCCATTTCCTGTGACATCTTTTTATTTCCTTATCCATCATAAAGTTCCATTACCTTGTTACGCAGGACTTTTGACAGTTCTTTTCTGATCTCCATGGCTCAGTATCTAGCCTAGTCAGTGCTTCCACGTAGGAGCTAACAAGCTCATTCACTATTTATACACTGACACTAATTGCAATTTAAAAAGCCACAGATGTGGGACACCTTGTGTGTCTGTACCAAGGCCAAACACTCCAGGGTATGTAGACTTTTGATCAGGGCCATTTGAGTGATTTATGTTCTCATTATGATTTAACAAGGAGCCAAACAACTATTTGATAATAAATGGCTTCATCTGATCATCATCCTTCAATAAAAGCATTTTTTTTGGCATGATCAGTCATATTTTCACTATCAATGCCAAAATTTCACAATTTCTGCCAGGGTATGTAAACTTTTGAGCACAACTGCATGTATGTGATAATAAATAAATATATACACACACACACTGTTCAAGTCAAACTGGAACTTTTGATTTTATAGAATAAAAACAGATTTCAAGGAGTGGAAACTGCATTTGTTTTTCAACATCTTCCCCTGCTACATTTATTTACTTATCCCAGCATTTAACTAATGCCTGGAAAGCTTCAGCATAGAAAGATTTGTCAGAACGCCTGAACCATCCTAGGACAGCCTGCTTCACTTTGTCATCGTGTTCACTGTTCCCACAGAAAGATTTGTCTCTTGTGCAATTTTGCTACAGGTTATGTGTCAATTATCTAGGATATATAGTGTGTGTGTACGTATGTATGTGTGTGTGTGTACGTACGTGTGTGTGTGTGTGTGTGTGTGTGTGTGTGTGTGTGTGTGTGTGTGTGTGTGTACGTACGTATGTATGTATGGGTATTTTTTGTTCTCTAATGTCATGTGACATTTTTACTATGTTATTTTTCACACAAGTTAATTTAATACACATTGCTTTGAAGGAACTTTTGCAGGTAAAAACACACTTTGAACTTGCTAGAAAATGTAACCACTTCAGGAGGAGTCAGTTTCTTGGCATATCCTCCTCCCTCCTTGCATGTCATAGCCCTTTCCTGTTCTGGGAGTGTATGATTACTCTCTGTGCTGGCACAGCTCCTCCACCCCTCGTTTCATATCCTTTATAAATGTTTATGTAGTTGCTGGGGATGGAGTGAAGGAGAATACTATAGGGTGTCACTTTAGTAACAGCTCTGAGTCTGTTTGGGCTGCTGATGTCATATCCATGATGGCAGCACCTCAGGGATTTTGGGTGTCCGCAGAAGGGAGGCTTTTACAGGCAAATAACATGTATAAATTATGGTAAATGCATCTTGTGGGAAGATTGTTGTTGACATGAATGGTCTGGTAACAGGTCCTCTTTAATGGAGCCTTCTGATTTGAGTGGTCTGCTAATGCCTCTCAATGGACAGAAAATTGGACCTGCAGCGTTTTTGGTAATGCAGCACACTGAACTGTCATACATGCAGTATTTTACTGTGCGTTGCTGTGGTTGAGTCTTAAGGCTTCATGGCACACAGGTGACTCTGCCGCTAGTGAGAAATTGCATTTCTTCTACCTCTGTGAATTCACTCCCTTGCCCATGCTGCTGAATCTCGATCTCTAGTGGTGGGATCGACATCCACTAATGAAGGAGCTATTCCATAGGGACAGAGGAGCAGTGATCCTGACATTGACCATTTGTCTCCCGCGTTCAGATCACCTGTGGCTTGAAGCTATGGAAAACTCTAAGTAACATGGACCGATCCTGATGACTGCAAACATTATTACACTCTTACAATTCATAATAAAAAATCACCTTACTGCAATAAATATATCCTCTGTTCATTTTAGTGTTTTCACTTTCATTCTCAGACGATTAATAATTTGTTGATTTTTATTTTGGATTTCAGGGCCCGGGAACGGGAGGTTAAAGAATGATGACCGACGCAAGTGAGATGTTGGCGGCAGCTTTGGAGCAGATGGACGGGATTATAGCTGGTGAGTCCTATAATAAGCGTCAAATGTGACACGCAACATCTGTCTATGAAGGGTATTTGGTCGCCTTTCCATGTTTTAAAGTTTGTGATATTTTGCAAACACATTGTACAATCTCGAGCACATTCACTGACCGCTATGTGTGAGGGTCTACCCAACCATCTCATTCAGCTTTTATTAAATTGTGGAGACCTCTGTATTCACATAGTTGTCTATTAAATCTAAAAATCACCATACACATTACAGTCTGACTATTCAATCTGCTTCACACTTACCAACGATATAGCTCACCACACACATTACAGTCTGGTTGTATAAGTTCTTTTTGATCTACCAAGAAGCATGCACTTTGCAAGTTTTGCCTTCTAGGTGATTTTTATTTTTTTTTAAATTTTTTTCATGCTGAACCAATGAAAGCAAAATATAATCCGATTAAACTTCAAATACATTTATAGGAAAAACCATTTTTTTTTTTTGTTTTTTTTTTTTTTTTTGTTTTTATGTTTTTTTGTTTTTTCTCATTTCCTCAGTAATAACCCCTTTCATTTTATTTTTTGCTATCTGAATCTCATTGGGGAGATTTCCCTTCACTTCTTGTCCCATAGCCAAATAGGAAGTGAGAGGAAATCCCCGCAAATTAAAGGAAAACCCTAGGGGACCCCCAGGTAACCAGAACTAGTGTCCTCATTGGAAGATTTCCCCTCTATAACTATTTTGGGGACAACCCAAATTTTGTTTTTGTTTTTTTTTTTTTCCTTTCACTTTCAATGATAATGGTAAACAGGACAAAGAGAGGGTGAATCTCCCTAACGGGAGCACAGACTGCAATCACAACTGACAGGTGTTCTAATCCATCATCACTCTGTCCAAAACTGAAAACAAAAAGGTTTTGCCTTTTAAGTTGTACTTTCAGCTGTAAGATTCAGATCTGAGCAGGTGATCTATAAAATTCTCAACATTTCCACTTGTAAACACATGGCTGTCGGCCACAGAGCAGAACTAGTGTGAGAGCAGCTGCTACCAATTCCTTCAATGCTGGGAAAAGATATTATCCTGCCTCATACTGGCTTACTTGACTGAGCAGGGTTTATACTGGATATACAGACTTCATTTGGAGCCAGTTCACACCATGCCCGTACATGAATCGCACAGGAACACGCTGTACGTTCCTGTGCGCTTCATATGTGGCTCTGTGCGTTGCGATTTCAGCCCATTCACTTTGAAAGGGGTAAAATCCCACCGCACCAAAAGTAGTGCATGCACTGCTTTTTCAGACGTAAACTGCAACCAAAAGTATCATGCAATCCGGTGTGGGCAAATGCACTGTTTTTGCAGTGTTGTTCACTTTGTATGGACACCCGCTCCAGATCGCAAATGTAGTCCATTTTGCATGTGGTGTAAATTATTATTATTATTATTATACAGGACTTATATAGCGCCAACAGTTTGCTCATCGCTTTACATTATGGATTGCACAGGAACGCACTGCGTATTCCTGTGCGGGCATGTTGTGAACTGGCCCTTAACGAGATTTCACTGTGAGATGCATATATAACTATAGATCTATAGATAGTGTGATTTAACCTTTCTTCGTCAGAATCATTTTTAGTGCACACAAATGCAGTAAATATCCCTTTTTTTTTTTTTTTTTAATAGAAAAGATGAGCTTTCATCAAGTAAATGGACACTGTATATGTCGAGCTTTAAATCAGTGCATGCCCATGAAATGGGGACAAACTTGGTATTCAAAATTCTCCATAGGTGACACTTTAAAAGCCTTTACAGTTATGTAGGTTAGAGTTAATTGTGAATGAAGGCCATAGAATTTTTATTCTCACTTAAGCCTGCACGGCGATATGTAACGTGTAGAGCCATAAACCTTTCTTTTTTTTTTTTGTGGCACCCAACACATCCAGTTACATGTATACACAGAGGTTGGGGACTGTGATTTATTTATTTGTTTTACTTTTAAACTTTTTTTAACTTTTTATTGCAATCACATAGGGAGGCGGTGCTTTACCAGAGGTGTTGAAGTAATTGGGTGACTTTATAGCCACCCGAATCCTCTCCATAAGAAAGCTGACAGCTTAACAAATGTCAACACAGTCCCGACTGCTGTGTGTGTAAAAGCCTGTGCTGCAGCCAATGTAAGCCTCACACCGACAGCTGTGAAATGGCCAAAGCCAAAACCTTTCTTTTTAATTTTAGATACTGTTTGGAATTGTTAAAGTCCCTGTCTTTTTTTTTTTTTTATTCTTTTTTTGCTGTTTGTGTCCTGTTGGAGCAATTTTTTTGTCCTTGAGACACAACAGGAAGTGAGAGGAAATCTCCCCAAAGTGAGGGAAATCCCCACTTGTATATCATTGGCACAGGTTTCCCCACTGGAAGATTCCCCTCTCTTCTAGTGACAACCATCTAATTTTGTATTATGGACAACCGTCCCAGTAACCATGGATACCAGTATGAATCCAGAGGGTGAATCTCCCCAGCGGGGGCACAAACAGAAATTAAAACCTGGCAGGGGTTCTAACACTATCACACTCTGTTCAAAAGGTATGTTTTGGGTGGAGTTCTGCTTTAGTTTGTCACCCCTTCCACACAGGACATGAAAGTACCTGTCACAGATTAGCAGCATGGACAGTCAAAGTTTCTTCTGTTTATATGTTTTGCCTTCCCAGGATCCTGCAGGATCTGTCATTTTCAGCCTTTTGATTAGAGGCCTAAGTAAGTTCTGACAAATTTCTTATAAATGGAAGATTTGGTCGATTTGGACTTTGATTAATTCCTTCAACAGAAATCGTGTTATTTAATGCCTATGGGATTTGGTCATGTGACTTTTTTTTCTGCAATTATAAGTTTATGGCTTTAGGGAGTTAGAATGACTGGGAGGATTCTATAATGACAGAATAACTGGTCACCATGTGATCTCACGGGCTAAGTCAATTATTTTAGGACTTGAGTTGCCTTTAGGCCTCATGCTTGCTAGGTGTTTTTCGCAGCTGCTTCTAGGGGTGCCGGGTGTGTATTTTGTTCCTGCCTCTAAACTCCCCGGAATGTTATCCTATGTGTCCATACACACATAGGGTTTTAGTAGTGTTTAGTGGCAGGAGAGTTTAGAGGCAGGAAAAAAAAACTTGCCATGCATCCAGGAGCAGCAGAGTTTGAGCAGAAAAAATGCTTGATGTGCGCTAACGCGTGGTGCATTTAGTGCTTGTGTGTTAATTCATTTTATTGGTCATACTCATTTATTTTGGCCATTGAAATGACACCTAAACATCTGATGCCTGTAAATGGGCCTAAATGCTTTACAAGCCACAGGCTTTTTTTTTCCTGCCAAAACTCTGCTGCCAGGAGGAAGGCTTCTAGAAGAGTTTAGAAAACGTCCTGTGTGTGAGGCCTTAGAGGAAATCTGACCTAAGAGATAAAACATGGAGCATGTTGTTGTCAATATTTGCTAGTGAAAACACTTATTGCCTGGCTGTTGTATTGCTCCAATGGCTTCAGTAGTTTCTGATGAAATCACCCAGACTGGTATACTGATTTCACTCTGACTTTTTTTTAATTTGCCTGCCTCTTTGAGCTAAAGACTTGGTCCTGCAGCCTGGCAATTAGCAGGGTGTATAGAGCAACAGTCTAACAGTGCCAACAAAACCTTTCATCCTCCAGCTTTTTAGTATTGACCATAGCCATTTACCTAATATTTTGTCTTCTCCTCAGGTTCCAAGGCCCTAGAATATTCCAATGGCATTTTCGATTGTCAGTCACCAACCTCGCCCTTCATGGGGAGCTTACGAGTCCTCCATCTTATCGAGGACCTGCGAGGAATGCTGGAGATGATGGATACCGATGAGAGGGATGGCCTGAGGTGTCAGGTGCCGGACTCCACCGCCGAGTCCCTGGTGGAGTGGCTGCAGAGCCAGATGGTGGTAAGAACTTTGCTGGGCATCAAATGGAAATAGTTTTTTTTACTTTGCCCATTGGGGACAAATAGACAGGTTCTCTAGTGTGAGCACCCCCTCATATTTTCTGTTAAATACATCATTGAAAGCATCTTGTTATATTTAATGGGTGCAAGAAAATACCTGTCAAATCTTGTGAACTTCCTGTACTCTGTGCTGCATTCTTATACGTTGCATTGTTCTTACTTATCTCTGGATATAGAACACCAAAGACCTGCTTGAAGTCCACCATGGGTGGCTAATATGTCTCTGTACACAGATATGGTGTACGTGTAGCCACCCGGGGACAGGAATTGTTATTCACAGGATAACCAGGTGAAAATAAAGGGAAAATAAGCCTGGAAAATACAAGGAACCAAAGTATGTGCAGCTGACTTTGAAGTTGCCCAAACCTAAGAACACAAATTTCATATATTGCAGCTTAGTTGTCCTATGTGGTGGCTGCATCCATTTTTTTTTTTTTTTTCAGCCTATGTACATTTTTTGCAGAAATTTTTTCTGCCAGAATCCATACTTCCTTATAACATTTTAAACTAAACTGTACTAAGCTGAAATCTCAAATAGTATTATCAGCTTTCCCAGCTATCTTCTGTGAATTACACAACCCCTGTACCTTATGTAATGGAGGAGACCAGCTTAAAGTGGAACTTTGGTCAGAGAATCAAATCCTGCTAGATCACTTCAGGCTGGCCCCTTTTGCAGGTATAGCTATGTAAAACATAAAAAAAAATAAGTATCTATGCTGTTTAAAATTAAGTAATACACTGTCTCACCCTGTTCTCAACATGCTTAGTTGCACTCTGTTTTTTGGCACTGTGCTGAATTTGTAGAGGCCGATCTGCCGACAGCCTAAAGATTTACTGCTGCTCAGGGGCTCTGGGCTTCAGCAAAATGGTAGCCTGTATCAAGAAGAAACCTGAAGAATACTGGAGGCAATTTACAGCACACACTAATTTTACTAGCATAATTATTAATGTGCAATGTATGCCTCTTGATATAGAACATTATTTTAATCAAGTTGGTATGGGCAAAGTTCCACTTTAGGACATGTCATCTCAAATGTAAATCTGCAGTTTGAGACTCTCTGCTTAGCCATATTATGGATCTGTTCTCTCATGCTCAGTTGTAGGTGTCCATGGAGCAACACACTACATCCATCCCACTCTTTGAAGTTGCCAGGCCTATAGGCCACATTCTTAAGCTCTTCCCCCCTGGTAATTTCTCAATTGAAAACCTGGGGGCTACGCAATACGCAAATAAAATATCTGGTTACTAGTGGGCTTCCTAACCCCTCTCTTGGGTAACCCTGATTTCCCTTCTGTGGTTTTTGGCTCCAGGTTCTACAAGTGCCACCAACAGAAACCCTCCCCAGCTGTGCAAATTGTGAGTGTGTTCTTTTGTGTATTACGCTAAAAACCTATTAAAACCTATTCTTAAAAAAAAAAAAAAAAACCTCCAGCTTTGGGTGCAATACTCCCCTCCTCTCCAGCACTAAACTGGTTGGTGGAGGGAAGTCATGAATTAGCTTTTAAAGTGGAAGTAAAGTTCACTTTATAAGTTTTACCTATAGGTAAGCCTATAAGAAGGCTTACCTTTTAGGTACAGTGAATATCACTAAACTAGCACCATTTAGGAGATATTCACAAAAAATGTAGCCAATGATGCCATCCCTAAGAGCTCCGTGCCACAGCCGAGGGCTCCCGTGCACATATGACGTCATTGCAGCTGCGGCCATTCATACTGCCAGAGCCCACAAACCCAGAAGGAAGACCGGGTGAAGATGGTGGCGCCGGGGAGTTGTGGCAGCTGGGAGCTGTGACAGTGCGGCGCTGGAGGGCTCTGTGTACAGGTAAGTCTGTTATAATGTACTAGTATTAGGTGCATACTAGTACATTCTGACCTAAACCTGCAGGGGGGCCCATTGTTTAATTTTGTCGGTGGGTTTAATGACCACTTTAAGCCAGTGCCTCTGATCTCTGCTATAGAGCATATAAGTAGCAGCAGGTTGGAGTGTTTGGCTCCATTCACACCAGTGTGTTTTTTTAGTGCTTTCTGCAGACACGCACTAGAGTCCATTTAACATGGCTTCCTATGGAACATGTTCACATCTATGCTTTTTTGAGCTGCTGCATTTTTGGAAAGTAGCGTTCAATGGAGAAGCTGCTGACATGCATGGTAGTGTGTTTTTTGCCGTGTTTTGCATTTTTATTCTGCCCAGCAACAAAAAAAATTCCACTTTAACAAAAAAAAAAAGAGCTAAACAAAACGCATCAAAAATGTGTGTAGAAAAGCACAAAACTAACTGTGAAAAGCACTGCAAAATGGACATAAAGCAAACTGCATAGGTGTGAACGGAGCCTTATAGTCCTGACCTCCCTTTAACTCACAATGGTATTTGCTATAGGGCTCCAGACAGTTTTCTGTGAAAAATCTGTACAGACTCTTAGGCTTTGTGTATGATCTTCGATTTCACGTTGGAATAAACTTCTATCTGGATTATAATCCTACTGCCAAAGCTGGTTATACACTGACAGCAAATTTTTTTGAACAACATTCTAAAAAAAGTTTGTTTTACCAATTTTTCAAATCATTAGTGGGGTCCAATCTGTGTTCATTTTCGACCAACAGAAACTAGGGAATTCTAAGGAGCAGGATGAAAACTTTCTCAAACAAATGAACTTCTAACAATGAATGTGATTTTCGTTCAGGGAAATCCATTCATTCCACAATCGAATGTCAAAAAGAGATAAAACCTTGGAGTACTTTCAAATGATGTTCATGAAGTCATTGAATGTACTGAGAATTTTCATATGAATTTTTGTACAAGTGTTAATTTGCAAATCTGCTAGTGTATGACCAGCTTTACTCATTCCAATTACAGCCCAAATTGACAGTGGAAGCCTTTTGGTATGCAGAAACCAATGGTGCAGTGTCCAGACGCCATATAGGAACACCATCTCTAAATTATACATATAGTAAATAGTGCAGCACTAACAATACATTGTAAACATACAAATTTATAAATGAACAGCCTCACCAACAGTGAATTAGGAGTTCAAATTCAGACAAATATAAATATTAGTCCATGCAAAGTCTGCATAAGTCTGCAGGTGCTGGTGCTTGGGAAAAAGAGAAACATAGACAGAAGAATCCTCCAACATCCAACCAATCACACAGCCTCTTACCACAGGATTTGACCACCTGAAGGATTGGTCAAATAACAGTTATCTGGACCAAACAATGGCAAGCAAAATAAGACTTCTTAGTTGATCCACTTTACGTGCAGCGCTTCTCCTGATTCCAAGCTCTTAGGTACCAAATCTCTCGTAGGGCAACAAACACCACAAAAGAAAAAAAAAACCCAGCTCATAGTGTAGTAAAACCGCAAACCAAAATGTATTCGCAGCAATACACCTAAATTCTTTATGATCAAAGCCAGCATGCCAGTAGAGTGTTTCCAACAAATAAGTTGGCCGCGGTGCACGATGACGTCACACACCATGACTCTATCCTACGCGTTTTGTCATAAAAAAGATGTCAGGGGTATCTTTTTGATAATGAAATATGTAGGGTGGTTTTTAGGAATTCAGTGCTATCTGTACATTCCACTTAACTGCTTTTGTGGCTGTAAAAGCCTCCACCCTTCTGGGAAGGCTTTACACAAGATTTTGGAGTATGTCTGTGGGAATTTGGGCTCACTTGTGTGGTCAGGTACTGATGTTGGAGGAGAAGATTCGGATCAGTGTCAGCGTTTCAATGCATCCTAAAAGTGCTCAGTAGGGTTGAGGTCAGAGCTCTGTGCAGGACATTCCACTTCCTCCACACCAAACTGGTCAAACCATGTCTATATGTAGTGGTTTTTGTACATCTTCATACATGGGAGTACAATCATCCAGAAACAAAAAAGGATCTCCCCATACTGTTACCACAAGGTTGGAAGAGCAATATTGTCAAAAATGTCTTTGTTGTAGCAATAAAAGTACCCCTCAGTGGAAAAACATAAAGTTGATCATTTAGGGCTCATTCACACCAGAGGGTGCACGTTATGTGCAAACTGCATACTGTATGTACCCTTGTATGCGTTGTGTTAAAACACACCACCCATGCTGGCTTTTTTTGCCAGTTTTTGTTTTTCACTAAAATTTCATTTAATTTTAAACTTGATATTTATGCACATCAGCACGTTGTGGTGCATTATAGCATGTTGGAACGTATTGTGCAAAAATACAATGTATAATTTTTTCAATGCACACAAACACCGCACGGTGATGTCCACTGGGGTGTCCAAACCTGCTTGAGCTATCCTGCTGGAAAGCTGTCAAAGCCAAGGCATTCCCTGGCTCACAGCGGCATGTATGCAAAGAGCGATGAATGCATTCACCACCTGCAATTGGCTGTCAGCTTTACAGCTTCCTGGTGCGATAGCTCAGGCGAGTTGAGACTGGTGTTTGTACTCCACTAATATCATCACTAGTTGAGACTGAGCTGGCCAGCGTTTTCCATTGCAGTCCATTGAGACTGATGTGATGAGTCATTGGAGGGGTGCCCACTTTTGGCCTTATAACAAATAAAGCTCAGCATTTAATACAGTAGTTCCTGACAAATGAGTGAAAAAGTTAAAGCAGAACTTTGGGCAAAACACCTCTTTACATGTTCTTGTTGCTGATTTCCTACCTTCACTGGATGTCATTCATCTTCTGGTTCACTCAGCAATGGCTGCTATGCCTCCTATTCCCCAAGCCACTGGTCTTGGCACATCCCTTCTGTAGTTCTTTCTCCAGGAAGCGGTGATGTCATTCAGCTCCACTTACAGTGGTTGGTGGACCGAGACTCTCAGACACATTCAACATGTACAGGCCTAGTGTACCTACCCACATTCACCACAATTCCCTATGGTTGATGGGAACTGTAGTTTCCTTTTACTGCAGAGAGAGAGATGGGATGTAATCCCAGCTGTTAAACCTCCT